GAACAGTACAAACAAACGTCATGCGAACTATGTACAGAGTATGTATTATCTACCGAAACAATTTTGTAAAAACAAAAAGACTTTGTACAAACTGCCTGTCAAATGCGCATACACTTAAAAAGTGCGATAGCACATTTATTGCGATAGCAAATAATTGCGTTTACTATGATATGCGACATCATTAAATGCTTCATTACAGCACATTTTCCAGCTCACCCCCAAACAGCGCGAATATGAAAAGAGCGTCTATGTCACAAAATAGGCTACAACTGCCCACAAAACTAGCTGATTTTTAAATCACGGGGATGGGCAAAACAGTAGTCCGAAACTTAAACAAAATCTGCCCCATTACCCTAATTTTCCGCAAAGCGGATAAGAGCATTCAAGCAAAACACATTATTCCAAGCTATCACATAAATAACAAGCATTGGCAAAAGGTTTCACACCTAAATATAGAAGATCCCAACTGCGATCTTATACCACAGGTAATATTCGAAGGTATTAAGAACATTTCAAACACACTTCAGCCACAATATACTATTTGTGGTTGGATCCTAAATAGACTAGTTACGGAAGCAGTTACCACCATGACAACTTCATTCGCCATGCACCGATCGAACCACCAGGATCCACCATACAAGAGGACACAACATACACCACACCGAAAGAAGTACAAGAGAACAACGAGCGACCTCAAAGCTCTCTTTCGCAACGCCATCGAATAGATATACGCGCTATACACGACCCCCGCTTGGCATCCGTAACGGCAAAAGATTTACTAGTTTTATTTTATAAATATAAAATAAATAAAATTGTGAACTTAATTTTTTAAAGAAAACTAAATACAGTCCGGTTCTTTAGTGAAGGCTTTAATGTCTACGGTGAGTGGGAAAAAACTTTAGAGAATATTTTCGAAACAAAAGTTTATTGCATATTTATTGTTTTTCCTCACTACTTTTGAGGATGCAATGTAGACGTGTTATCGATCTTTTTTGGGTGTTCGGTTCCCCAGAAGGCCTTAATTTACCCATATAATATATACAGTTCTAAATACAATAAATCTAACTAGAAAAAAAATACCAAATCTAACTAGAAAAAAATGTATATATAAAATCTGGTACACTTTATGAAGAGAAATTACATTAACAATATAAGTTTAAATAATCAATTTAAACAAAAACCAAAATGAATATATAAAACCTGGTACAATTCATGAACAACAATAATAATAATCCAAACACTGTACTAATTAGTAAATAATATTTACAAAATATTCTATATCATTAACAGCGATATACTTATTAAATGTTAATTTAATCTTTAGGAATTTAAATAATTGAAAAATATTTGAATTTGTAATAAAAACATTCTTAAAGTTATAAATTTTAAAACATAACACGGCAACACACTGTAGCAGATTTGAGGAATTTGGACGTTGTAGCAGAGAATGTAAAGTATAGAGAAGGTCCAACTACGTAGCAGCGTGTGAATTGTCAAAACCTAACAAAATATGATGAGCGTGTTTCACCACAGCTAGCTCGGAGGGAAAAATTTTAACAGTGGCGTCTGAACAGAGCTGAGCATTCAATAAAAATTATGCTCAGAAGTTTGCATTGATATTACAGCCGCATGTTACTCCTTTGACTTACATTTTTATACGCGTATATGCAATCATATTTTTATGATATGAATATCATTATGCCAATTTTTATGAATGCATGCAAAACTGATAAGACTCTAATAAATTATGTAATTTTCAAAATAATATATAGTCAGTTTGGGCATTTATTAATATTATATAGTTTTTACATAATATGCGTTCCTAATAAATATTTTGTATTATAATGGTATATCTGTTATCATATTAATCTTATATAGTCATATGTACATATATCTGAACATACGCATTTGAATGTACACATTCAGAAATTCAAATCATAATTTTATCCCTTATCAATACACTATATGTGCGCGAATTGATTTATATGTCAACATACTTGTATATATGTATGTATATATAACATTGCCGAACAAATAATGCATACACAAACCAACCTAAATACATATGAATATCCGTACACATGTAAATATGTAACCCGCAAAAACTACAAAAATTGTTCTACAAAATCAACAATTGTTACAAGCCAAATAGCCGAAGCCCAAATTTATAGTAAATCACACAACAACAACATTTACATTCATGAAAGCAACCTCGCTTCATCCATTACAACAGACACCCTCTCATCTCCCCGAGCATGCGTTTGCCTACAAGCGTCTTTTCGCGACGATGGCAAAAGCTAAAAATCATAAATTGAACAAATTTCTGATGTTCCCTCTAGAAGGGAAAAGTTGCATCCCCGCAAGCCCACAAAACACAGAAAAAAAGTGACAAAAGTGGCAACAAATCTTTTGTCGATTTAAAATATTTTACAATTCAAAAATATTTTTCCATTACAAAAATCTCCGTCAATATGTATGCATGCTCATACATAAACATTCATATTTACGATAGTTTGTTGGCAAAGCTGTTAGAGCGGCAAGGAAAGCGGTGACACCCGGCGGCCATTCCTTAATTTTTTTTTGGCACAGTTTGGATTTTCTACCAACAACACAATGTTGTGACGCTTTGTCGTCGCGTCAGTCCTTCGACACAGTGACTCTTTGACAAGAAAACAAAAAACGTGAGCTTCGGTCATTGGTTGTCCGTGGCAACGGAGATTTCGCATGAAACATTGAGTGTACCTATTTACATACATACGTTGCATATAGACAAATTAACAATTATAATGGGTACTTTCATATTTGTTCACATGCACACATAATTACAAGATGCGTTCCAAAGTAAAAAGTAAAAAAGTAACAAAGTGTAAACTCTATTGGCGCCATCTATATGTCGACTAGTGCGTTAGAATCTGCTACCCTTTATCGACTTCCAGTAAAAATTTCCTGACATTTCATCTATTGGAAGTGAAGTTATTGCGTTTTACGTGTCAGTATGTTTTTGTCATCAGTGCGAAAACGTGCTTCGAATAAAGAGCCAACATCAAATTTTGTTTTAAAATTGCTAAAACTTTCACCGAAACGTTTCAATTGATGAAACAAGTTTATGGCGATTATTGCCTATCCCGTAGTAGAGTGCACGAGTGGTTTCAACGTTTTCAAAGTGGTCGTGAGGACATAAATGAGAAATGAGCCGAAACCCAAAAAATCGAAGACAATGCGTATTTGTTTTTATGCTTCCAAGGGTATTGTCCAAAAAGAATTTGTTCCACCCGGCCAAAACGTTAATGCGGTATTCTACCTTGGAGTTTTCAAGCATTTGGTGCGCCGTATTCGACGTTTTCGGCCCGAATATCGCGAAGATGGAAGTTGGCATTTGTTGCACGATAATGCGCCGTCTCATCGATCACCTGATATGTCACCGTGCGACTTCTACCTATTCGGAAAAATGCATTTGCCGATGAAAGAAAAGGGTTATGCAGACGTGGAGGCCATACCGGGCAACGAGCTAAAACACTCGTTCGATATGCTTTTGGACCGTGCAAAAAGCTGTATTAAAGCAGGAGGAGACTATTTTGAATAAAATTAATTGATTTTTGCCGATAAAACCATTTGTTCTGTATTTTTTTTAAAGTCCTGTTTACTTTGGAACGCACCTTGTATACATATATCTTGGTTTAAGAGTATTTGGAACCGCTTGGTCTTTTTTTATCAGGTTATGTCAAGCAAGAGGTGTACAAAATCAAACCCAGAAATCTGACTGAACTGAAGCAGTCCATTAAATAGATAATTGAGGCAATTAGGTGTCGCATATGCGCGGTTGAGCATGGAAGAATAATTAATTATTTAAATAAAATGAAATTGTAGCACGATTCGTCAGCCACCCTGTATAGGCAGAATATCTTCAAATTATATGCAAAGTCGTTTGCGCATTCTTAACATTGAAATTAGCATTACTTTTTTCAATTAACATTGAAAATGCTCAATTCTGCTATTTTTCAGTCCCCTGATGTTAATTGTGGCCAATAATTTTCTGTGGTGAAACACGCTCATCGTTTTCAGTTCCCCTGCGGAAAGTGAAATAACATTCTGTATAATCTACATTCTCTGGTTGTAGTAGTAAACTATTAGTAGGAAGTGTGACATTTTTGCGTGTGTATTAGTGAATCTTAGGATTGGTTACTTGTAAATTTATACAATGATTTGAAACTTAAAGCGCTTATAAAATATAGTGTTTGCAGATTCATAATAATATCAATTCAAATATTCATATTATATTTCGATCCCAAGAGATTGACTCTTGAGATCCAAAACTAATGATCATCGTTAGCTAATAAGATTTTGTGGATGTTGAAGATATATATTCTTAAACCGAAAGTAAGTGCTTGAAAGGAGTATAAGAAATCAGTAAAAAATATAGGGTGCGTTTGAGCTACGTAATAATTGCAGCCGTACAGCTACTGTGTTGCATATTTGTGGATACTTTGCTGATGATGCAGAACGTGATACTTTGACAAATTTGCAACACTGCTGTCGTGATTGCCATCTCGAACGCACCCTTATTATTAGCATGTTTAGAGTGCGATTAGTCGAAGTCGAATTTGCTCACATAAAATTTTTTCGACACCACCCAATATAACGGTTATGTTAAAAATACTAAAAGTGCGATAACTCACTAAACAAAATCATCAGAAGCATTAAAAGGCACGACCTGTATATGGTACAGAAGGTCCTCATAGGAGTCGGTGTTCAAATTGAACAATGGATGTGGTATCCGTCCATCTTTAGATTGCAGTAACTATTCGACCAATAGTAGCAGGCAATAGTATAAACTATTCGGTTACTTCCTAACTTAGTCCTTCCTTACTTGTTTAATATTAGTTGAATACTTGTATTAATAAATGTAACGGACCACCCAGAAGAAATGCAAAAACAAGATATAAGCTTAAAATTTCAATCTAACTATGTTTTCATTATCAATAATTTGGTTAGTTAAAATATTATTATGCACAATATCTGTAATATGTTTATTATATATTATTTTGGTTTCACACTTTTATAATATTTTTTTCCGACTCTATCGAAGGATAAATTGTATATACTAGAAATTACTATTAAAAATTTTGTATTATCGAACAATCTTATTAATAACTGATGTTATTGATTGTCAAAATAAATTAAATTATTTTGAAGCATATCCATTAGGGTTATTGCTCTGCCAACGCCAAGTATCAGCACACATTTCAATTATGCCGCGTTTAGCTTTCCAACCAAGAGAAACTTCAGCCAGCGTAGCATTGGCGAAACAAGTTGCCACATCACCAGATCGCCGATCGGTCATTTCATAATCAATTTTTCGATTACTAGCCTCTTCAAAGGCATGCACCATTTCAAGAACAGAATATCCAACACCAGTGCCAAGGTTATATGCAAAAAACCCAGTCTCGGCTACATTTCTTAATTTTTCCAGAGCTCTTAAGTGTCCTTCTGCAAGATCTACAATATGAATATAATCGCGAACTCCGGTTCCATCTTTTGTTGGGAAATCAGAACCATAAATTTTCAAAACATCCCGACGGCCGACGGCCACTTGAGCAATAAATGGCATCAAGTTATTAGGCTCTCCGTTGGGGTCTTCGCCAATACATCCGCTCGGATGCGCTCCAACTGGATTAAAGTAACGCAATGACACAACTGCCCAACGCTAAAAACAGTATAAGTTAATATAACAATTGAAAATAAAAGAATCACTCACCTTATCGGATTTACATAGATCCTTCAAAATTTCTTCGGTAAAATACTTTGTTTTGCCATAGGGGCTTGTACAATTGCCGGTTGGATGATCTTCAGTTACAGGCAAGAATTTGGGTTCACCATAAACAGTGGCACTGGAGCTATACACAAATTTAAACACGTTGTTATCAGCCATAGCTTCCAGGAGAACATTTGTACCCGTCATATTATTATGATAGTATTGAAGCGGTATACGACAAGATTCTCCAACTGCTTTAAGCGCAGCAAAATGAGCCACCATATCGATTTTGTGCTGAAAGTTAATCAACATATACATTTTTGATTGTGCCATGTGGATAACGAATTAATAGCAGAAAACAAAAGAAAAAAAGAGAGAATTTTAAGTGGTTAATATGTCGAATATCTTAACATAACTAAGAAGCTATGCTACAATTAAGGGAGGAGTAAGGTTACCCTACAAGACGGATGACCACTACATATTTAAAGCTATCTTTTTGGTTTAAATTTAATATTCTGTTTTAAGAGTAGCAACATTCGTCATATCTTCTGAATGCTTAAGAAAGAGATGCACCTAAAGCTATTCCATGTTTCATTAACAACGGCTGGCATTATTTGGAAAAAAATTTTAAGTTAAGCGCTTTGTCTGATTTGCTTTTTATATATTGTTCATACCAAATGAACACATCCCTGCATTGTTCTCCAAACTCGTATAGATACGAATTAGAGGACAATGGAAAAGGCTCAACAGCACCAACATAGCTCATAATTCCAATAAGGAATTAATAATAAATCAGCAGGCAGGAGCAGATATCAACGCGGACGGACATAAAAAGGCACGAAAATCAGATCGCCCCAGCAGCACAACAACAACAACAACAGCAGTGCATTGCGATCATGCAAAAAACCCTGTAGGAAAAAAATCGAAAGACCCAGTAGGAAATTTTTCGTTCATCGGAATTTTAAATATTGTGCATATATAAGACACACACAAAAAAAATTTTTTTTTGTGGAAATTCGCCAGCATTTGGGAATTTGTTTGTTAAAATTTAAATAAAGAAAAATTACTTAAAATTTATTATTTGTTTCATTTCAATTTTATAAATTGTTGCGATATATACATAAAAATCTATATAATAAATAAATAAACAAATTCGAATATATCGAAGACCATTACGAAACCCATCCCGAAGATGAATCCGTTTATACTCTGGAAATAAAAAGAGTTGAACTCAATGCTATTTACGACAAGGCAAACAAGTCGTACGATGCCTTTCGTAGAACCCCACAAAAACCCGGTGAAACTATTGACTTCTCAAAAGTTAAAGAAAAATTTATAACAGGTCATCAATTTTATTTGAAATGTTAAGGATCCATTAACCAAGCTATTGATGATCTTAAGACCCAAACCCCCACAATAAAAGAACGAGCTTCAGATGAAAACACATCGCGGAGCATAGGATCTTCAATTCATCTACTTCCCTTGTGACACGGACATATTTTATGGCGACTTCGTAACCTGGCCCTCATTCAAAGACATGTTTACGGCCATATATGTAAACAATCACAAAATTATTAACGTGGAGAGACTGTTTCACTTAATTCAAAAAACCCGAGGAGAAGCAAGAGCAATAGTTAAAAACGCACCATTAATAAATGATGGTTTCTTGATGGCATGGAGGGACCTGGTATCGCAATACGAAAACCAACAAGTTCAAGTCAACGCGCAATTAAAAATTTTGTTCAATTTACCCCAAGCAAACCAGGAAAGTGGAAGCGCTTTTAAACACCTTCAAAGGACCGTCAACAATTGTCTTACAAATCTTCATAATGTATACATAGACACGAGTAGTTGGGATTCAATCTTAATCTTATGTGGATTGAAACTACCTAAAACTTTACTTCATCAATTCGAGGACACCCTAGAAGACGCGTTTCTCACCTATAGATACAAATCTTTAGAAGCAGTGGGAAATCTAACTGACCCCGTTCCAGTTACCCAATCCGACAAGTGGCCTTATAGAAAAGGAAAAGACAGGAAGTTTAATACCTTTCACGCGAACGTCTCTGGAACTGCGAAATTGAGTTTTTTACACGCTAGGGAAAGCCCTGTAAGAGGCAGCATCATCTCAAAAAAACCCCAAGACTTTTAGAGTTGTAAATTATGTAGAACCCAACATTCCATTCAAGAATGCCCAAAGTTTTTACAAATGAATGTCGAGACCCGAATAAACGTAATAAAAAATAATGGTTACTGTTTTAATGCCTTGCATTATCGCATAGAGCAAATACTCATCCCGCAAGGATCAAGAGCCTCGAACCCGCCTCTTGACTCTACCAATAGTAGTACCTCCCAAACCTTTAATCCCAATACAAATCCGCAAGCCTACACAACCCTCTTACAGTCCACTGAAAATAAAACTCAAGACTCACACAACTCAAGTAGGAAGCAGGTTTTGCTAGGTACTTCTATAGTGCAAGTTTATTGGTCAGAAGCTACCTTCATTTCCGAGAAGTTCCACAGAAAATTGGACATACCAACATTCAAGAGAAACGCACAAGTGACAACAGCTACCAAAAGTTGCGAACTCACCCTTCGTTCACCAACAAAAAGGGAATTTAAGATAACAACCCACTCGTTTATCTTAAGAACTTTAACCGATAACTTACCTACGCACTCACTTGATAGAATAATTTGTAATAAAGAATTCGGTTTTAGCTTAGCTGACCCTCACTTCTATAAACCCAGACCTGTCGGCATCCTTATCGAAAGTGATCTGTACTTACAAATAATTCTCAGTGGCGTACATAGAAATGTACTCGGGTCATTACTAGCCCAAGAAACAGAATTCGGTTGGATTCTTTCCGGACCCACACCTGAAAAACCCATCTCACCCTCATAAAACAACCCGAAGACACTCAACTGGGCGCTACGTGGTAACATTACCCTTTAAAACCCTAGAAAAAATAGACTTGGGCAAGTCAAGACATATAGCTTTAGCTCAGTTTCTAAGAAATAAAAAATCCCTATCTAGAAAACCTGAAATAAAAACAGAATACAAAAAGGCCATCAACGAGTACCTGGAACTCGATCATATGACCAAAATAAAATATGACCCCGCAGAGAATACGAAAGCATACTATCTATCACATCACGCAGTCATCAAACCCGATCGCTTAACGACCCAACTGCGAGTGGTACTCCACGCATCATGCCCCACCTCAAATATAAACAGCCTCAACGATGTATTACACACTGGGCCTATTCTGCAAGCAGACCTGGTAATGCTAGTGGTAAAGTGGCGTATGTTTCCAATCGTATTCAATGCAGATATTCAAAAAATGTATCGTCAAATACTTGTTGAAAGCAAACACACTCCATTTCAAAGAATCTTATTTAGAAGATCGCCTAACGACCCCAGAGAAGATTTTGAACTACAAACTGTTACCTTTGGTATTAACTGTGCCCCATATTTAGCTTGGAAATTAGCGGAGGATGTACAAGGAACCCACCCCATGGCAGCAGAGATACTTCGAAACGGAATGTACGTCGATGATGTACTTGCAGGAGCACATGACGTAGCAACTGCGAAGATGGCACGAGACGAACTCACTTCATATTTGGAGTCCGCAGGATTTGCTCTACGCAAATGGACCTCAAATGACCCAAAAGTCTTATCTGGAATCTCACAAGAACACCTGTTGGATACCAATTTACTCAGTTTACCGGAATCCAATAGCACAAAAATACTGGGGATCAGATGGAATGCAAAAAAATATGCATGCTTTTTTCTCATCAACCCTATTCACGATAAGACATCGTTTACTAAAAGAGACGTATTATCGATTATAGCAAAATTGTTCGACCCAGCTGGTTGGCTCAGTCCCGTTGTAATCACAGCCAAAATAATAATGCAACAAATATGGCTCGATAAATCCGATTGGAATTAAAGTTTAAAACCCTTTCGACATCTAAAGCCCTTGACGCATTAGAAAAAGCTTACGCAGCAAACCTATACATCAGTGTTTCTACAAACACAAACACCTGCACAACTCTTTTGATATCCAAGGCTCGTGTGTCCCCAATAAAAAGTATATCTTTACCAAGGCGAGAACTTTGCGGAGCGGTTCTTCTGGCGAATCTAGTGGATGCGACCCTACCCCAATTAAACATTACTCAGTACCGCACTCCCCTTTGGACGGATTCTACAATTGTCCTTTCTTGGCTAAGCAAACCCCCATGCTCATGGACAACCTTTGTATCCCATCGAGTTGCCACAATTGCAGAAAAGGTTGGAACCGAAAATTGGCATCACATCGAAAGCCAGGAGAATCCGGCAGATCTGGGTAGTCGCAGATGCACACCTCTGGAAATAGTTAACAATGACCTCGGTGGCACGGACCCCAATGGCTAAAACTCGATACATTGGCCAATTACACGAAAATCAACCGATACAACACTGGAACTGCGGCCAATCAAGACTTTCGTCAACACAACACAAGAGGATATACTGGATAGATTTTCATCACTACCCAAAGCCATTCGAGTCATAGCATATTTATTCAGATTCTGCTCGAATGCGTCACCCAACAGATCACAACAGCCATACACAACGTTGGATATAACCCCAGACGAGTTCAAAACTACCCGCACGAAGTTAATTATTTAAACCCAAAGAAAGCACTTCTAGAAGGAGTATGAAGCTTTAACTCAAAACACCAGCGTACACAGAAAAAGTAGAATTTTGACCCTAAACCCTTTAATCGATCCCAAAGGAATAAGGCGAGTTAATGGCCGATTGAGCAATTCAGCCGCATTATCAAATAACGAGCGGCATCCGATTATATTGTACTGCCCTATAGCAGACGATTAACAAAACTACTCACCCAATTTACCCACTCAATTACCCTACATGGTGGCAACTAGCTAGTTTTACGACTCATGCGTACGGAGTTTTGGACACCGAAGCTTAAAACGCTCATCAAGACCATTATCCATCAGTGCAAAACTTCCGTCTTACACAAGAAGAGAGAAACTACTCAAATCATGGCAGCTCTTCCAGCGGAACGATTCTTTTCCAGGCGCGGATTTTCCGCCGATATCTATTCGGACAATGGTACTAATTTCGTGGGAGCGTCTAAACTCTAATCAAACATCGACGAGAATTCATAAAATCACTAAAAACACAAGTAACAACAAGTGAAGCTCACCAAAACATCAACTGGCACTTTAATCCTCCAGGAGCTCCACACATGGGTGAACTCTGGGAAGCAGGAGTGAAAAGTTTAAAGAGCCACTTTAAAAAGGTGTCCCAAATCCAAAAATGCACTTTCGAAGAATTATCTACCCTTCTAACCCGAATCGAAAGCTGCTTGAATTCTCGACCTTTAAGCCCACTAAGTGAAGACTCCAGGAATATAGAACCTATAACTCCAGGCCATTTCTTAATAGGTACCATTTTATTAACCCCAGCAGAACCCAAATTAGAACTTACACAGCTAAGCATCGCACATAGATGGCAAAAGTTAAAGACACTTCTGCAAACGATGGAAAGAAGAATATCTAAAAGAACTCCACAAACGGTATAAGTGGAAATACCCTCAACGCAATATATAGGTCAATAATATGGTAGTTATACGCCAAGAAACTCTACCCCCAAATGAATGGAAACTTGGTCGCATCGAAAAAACCTATCTCGGTGCAGACAATAAGACCAGAGCAGTTGACATACGTACTTCTCAAGGAACAATTACCCGCTCAATAACCAAAATAGTCACCTTGTCAAATAACTAAAAATAATTCTTTATAGTGACATGGCTCCTCAAAATAGCATCAAACCAATCTGCAGCCGACAGACCAATCCAGCCTTCATCGTACGATCACTCAGCGTCACCCGAAGCATCACCCCACTCTCCGAAAATGGGACCCTGGCTAGACGCTTACATCGCTTTAAAGCGACCCTCTCCCCCATTCGAGAAGAAAGAGGAAGCGCCTACCGCACAGCGAACTATCACCCATTCATCAAAACGCACACATAAACACGTCGCCTGTGGATTGTGTAAAAAGGATCACCGATTGGTGATATGTTCAATTTACAAAAATGAACATTCACGAAAAGTTTGACGCAGTAACTAAGTATAAGTACTGCGTCAACTGCTTGCCCAGATCGCACTCAACACAAAGCGCAAAACGATGTAGCATGTGTAACGGGGAGCATCATTCAACCCTACACGGACACCCCAGGTTTTACTGCAAAGAGACAACCAAAACAACAAATAGCGACAAAAGACTGCACAAAGACCAAGAGATTCCAACGCTACTGGCCAAGTCGACCCTTATACCCACTGCCATGATAAAAATAAAACACGATGGCAGATGGAATAAAATACATGCCATAATTATCCTGACCCGAAAAGTAACAATAATTGTCTAGGTCTTGGTTCAGGGATTGAGGTTGCCGAAAACATACCTCGACTTTCACCGTATATGTAAAATCGTCATAGGGTCACTAACTGATCTCGACTGGCATGTCGAAGTCAATTGTCTTATGACGCAGGAATTACCGACCCGACCCTACAATCGTGATATAGGTGGCGAAATCTTGAAGAGATTCGACCATTTAGTCCTAGCCGACCCTATGTTTCACAAGGATGATAAAATCATGATGGAACTGGGAGCAGACATCTACCCAAGGATAATGAAACCCGGATTATTCAACCCAGACAACAGCACCGTGATCGCACAAAGCACCGCACTCGGTTGGACTCTAACCGGGGCTTGTGCGATTTAAGCTAGGGATAGGAAAGTCGACTCTGACTTTGGTCAAGAATCGATTTTTAACTTAAAATAATCGACTTTTTAGAATCGAATTTGAATGCTTCAAGTCGATTAAAATCGATTTTCACTCGATGACTTCGACTTTTCTGTTAACAGTTATAACATTCGATGGTAGTACAGTTTGTATCGTTTCCATGTACCGACTCTTTTATATTTTTTTATACCTTATCGTTAAACTAACCTCTTTCTGATTGGACAAAAATAAACATCATCGCTGGGATCCTTGTTAACCGTTTAAAATAAGCATAGTATAACATAACTGACGGAAATATAATTGTTTAATTTTTAAAAAAGTCGATTAAAGAATCGACTTTTAGCAATGATTAATCGACTTTAAGAGTCATAAAATTCCAAGTCGATTCTAAAATCGAAAGTCGACTTTTCGCGCGCTGTTACCATCCCTAATTTAAACCCTAAGTAACCACTCAACCCATTTTAAAACAATATTCATTAACCCAAAGCGAAATAGATCTAATAACTTTTATATTCGCAGACCCTGCAAAGCGGCCGGGATGATCATACCGAATGAACACATCCCTGCATTGTTCTCCAAATTCGTATAAATACGAATTAGAGGACAATGTAAAAGGCTCAACAGCACCAACATAGCTCATAATTCCAATAAGGAATTAATAATAAATCAGCAGGCAGGAGCAGATATCAACGCGGACGGACATAAAAAGGCACGAAAATCAGATCGCCCCAGCAGCACAACAACAACAACAACAGCAGAACCACCAAAATCTACGCGGGATTATCAACCCACATCAGGTTACAATTAAGTTTTTAGTTAATTTATATTATTTAAGTCTAACTAACATATAACACATAAATTGAACTCCTTACAAACACACACATAAATATTGTACAATTAACCCACACAAATTGTCTATAATATTTATTCCCTATATACTCAAATTAATTAAAGTTAAATTTTGTTGAATTTTAATTAACATTTTATTTTATTTGGCACACCGGCAAACTCAACGTCGAGTACCCCGACATATATAATGTTATTTTATTTTATTTTATAACACCCAAAGGCGTTTATAAAGAAGGTAAGTACTTGAATTTTATGTTGTTTATAAAGTATTTGTTAAGTGTTTGTAGAGGACACTCAACACTTTCCATTTTGTTGGTGGACTGAGGACCAGAGGAATTTCGCCATGGTAACTGCGTATCGAATTTAAATCCTCCATGTGTTGGGCATAGGAGTAGTACGTAAATTGGTTGAAAACGAAATGAATGGTGTGCAGCGGCTTGTACTTAATGAATACAAGTAAATTATATAACTTTTCTAGATGATATAGTTAGATAATTGAGGACATATAACGGCATTATAATAATATATAATTATGAATAATTTGATCATATCTGATAATAATAATATATACCATATTATAATTTTAATATAAAAAGAACTAATAATGCAATTTCAACACAATTTGTTGCAGGTATCAAGACGATAATACGACACGAAAGTTGGTCTGGTCTATAATACATAAATATATAAATTAAATATATACATACCATACATATAAAGTATTAATTAATTTTAATATTTAGTTTAAGAAATAACGTTTCTATAATTAAATAAATCGAATTAATTTAAAAAAAGTGGTATTGTAACGGATTTCTCGATAAATAGTAATCGTAACTCACTCTTGCGTTCAATCATTGGATTGTTAAATAAAAATCGCAACTTAATGATAATTTCTTTACTTCTAATCCAAAGACTTAACGCTTACTACTTATTATTCGAATTCCCAACTTCTTAGTTATATCTTAATTGCTCTTATAGCAGCAACACCCTAAGTAGAACTGTGTCTGCTGCACAATCCGGCAGACCTTATATAATATATTCGATCTTCAACATAACATCGCCTCTAAACATTATGGCTACTACGAATTCGCTAGTCCGTTCCGTCTCGTCTTCTAGGATGATGTTAGCTTCTTTAACAGTCTTTGTTTTGTTGGAGTTAATTTCATTCGTTTTCCGGATACCCAGTTTCTGGTACATCCCTTGCCTTAAAGCTGACTTGTGAATTTCATTGTTGACCAGAACGTAATTCCATTGGAACACCGAATCTCGTTACCCACTTGTTGCTGAATACGTCCGCTACTGGTTCAGTCTCTTGACTAGTAATTCTGGCCATTCGTTGAAATGATTATTGACTACCAGAACATGACTATTTCCTAATTTATTTTTGGGAAATGGACCATTTTCATCCACTCTAAATTGATCAACTGGTGGACCCGAATTGTACTGTTTCATGTGGCCAGGACTTCTGGACCTTGACCCTTTAGATACAATACACTCAGTATATTCTGCAAACCTCTCCATAGCTGATTGACGACAACCAGTCCAATTTCTCCAAGATTTTCGTGATTCACAAGTGCCCATCTCTTGGACCTTGGTACTGCACGTTAAGAACTTCAGGAATTCTAACCTTCGGAACAACCATAAGTGCTCGAGAGCTTTGAACATCTTCGCTTTTCCATACTCGATGCAAGCAGCCACACTCCTCACCTCTGCCCAATATTCTTTCGCAACTTGCCTTCCTGTAGTTATTCCTCCACTCGTTGTACATCGGTTCAAATCCACTTCAAGCATTAAGCAACACACTTCCTACATTCCACAATTGAGGGAGAATGTAGCAAATCGGCGTAAAGCCATTCCTCTTTCTGTTTTAACTTCCGAAGTGGCAGGACCATTTCAGCTACCCGCAACAAAACTGGCGGATCAAAGCGTTTATAATTTTTTGTTTTAAAATGAGTTGAAATTCAAAACAAATCGCATTCGGCAAACACGTTAAAAAGAAAAAAAAATTAATCAAAATTTTAACAATTTTTTGTTTTAACAAGAGTTTAAATTTAAAACAAAGCGAACTCAAAATGAAATTGAAAAAGACGAAAATAAGCAAAAAGGAGAACAAATTAAATTAACATACATACAAAAGACGTTGAAACGCAAAATGACATTGAAAAAATGACATAAGAAAAAATTTAAACAAATAAAAATAACATAAGAAAAGACGGTAAAAGGCAAAATGACATTGGAAAAAACGAAAATTGCCAAAAGTAGAACAATTTAAAATACCGGAAGAAAAGATAGTGGGACGCAAAATGAAATCGAAAAATGCGCAAAAAGTAAAACAAATTAAAATACCATAAGACAAAGAAATCCACGACAAAAAAGGTGAAATTTAAAACAAAATATGAACACGCAAACGAAAAGCACTTCAATGACTAATACGTCTAGTAGAAACAAGCGAAAAGGACAAAAAGCAAGGAAATAACCGATGAAACACCGATGATAATACGATGCGAACACCAAAAACAAACAAGAAATATCCGAGGGAAATCTAAGATAGCTGTATTTACATTTTAAGTTAACTTTAAATTGTCGTTGAATCTTAAAAACAATTAAACCTCTTTTTTTTTAAATCGAAAATATTGAAATAGGTATTTGATACTCTTACCTTAAACGAAAATAAATAGGGGTGCTTGTAAAGAACGTCTCAATCTACTTATTAGTTATTTTTGAAAAAACTATTCATACGAAAAGTAGATCAGGCTAATTTTGCGGAAAAAAACAATGGAAGCGACGCAAATAAGCAATTTCAGTTAATATTCACTTGTCCTAAAACTTCTAAAATATATAAAGAGTTTTGACGGCAATGACCCTAATCAACTGCCAGACTTCATAAACCAAATAGAGAACATCCTACCATCTATCGTAGAATTTGACAATAACAGTAGTAGTATACTTTTTGGCTATGTCAAAAATAAATATGTTGGTAAAACCAGAGAAGCAATTCACCGACACAAAAATATAACCTTCTGGGATACAAACGTTAGAAAACGCTTACAAAATAATCGCAGAAGCGAGACAACACGCCTATACTTCCTACGGAGCCATAAGTAAAAATTCAACTGCCCAAACAAATAGAAATTTTAGCAATAGCCCGGAAAGCAATAATTGTTACCAAAACAACATGCGGAACAATAGACAATACGGTTATTTTTACAATCAAAATCAGAATAAGAACGAGCGAAAAAAGTACAACGTCCACAATGATAGAAATTTTAACGATACTTACCATTAAAATAATAACTACAACCCCAACAGGATAACATAAATATGAACTGACTCCAATCAAACTCGAATGAGAAGACCAGAGACTATGGACTCAGATTTCACGTACACGGAAGAAACAACTTCCTTCTATAATAGTAAAAACACACTTAGGACCACTATATTCCGTTATAGAAACAGGGGTGGAACTCAGTTTAATATATGAGGGAATTTGCAACCCTAAATGGAAAGAACACGAACTTAAGACTTTTTGCACAGTATCAAATTTTACAGATTTCAGTGAAGCAAATAACACGTTTCAATTCCTTGAATGCAATTTCAGTAAATACTTCAACGGACTGTTAGGAAACAATATTTTCATTGAAATCGATTGTAATATAAACTACCCAAGCAGATTTTTGAGTACAAGAAAATCATTCATAAATTTCTTATGAATAAGGAGGAAGAAGCGTATCCGAATAACAGTTTTAAAGGTAGTGCGATAGAAATTCTCACAAACACAGTAAAATATAAAAAAATTTGGGAACACATAAGTTATAAGTTATAAATTAATAACTATTGTTATGAAGATACAAAGATATATATTATCATGAAAACGACAGCCTGCCATTCACTACTATAATAAAACATAAAATAACTACACACAACGATATTCCCATTTATTCCAAAATGTACAGGACCCAGAGATACATAAGCTTCCGAGAAGCTTGACGCGTCTAATAAATTAAAGTGTCGCATCGTCATCGACTACTGAAAGTTGAATAACACCACTGTAGAAGACAGATTCCATATTCCAAATATAGAAGATATATTTGATGAGCTAGGGAGATGCCTTTACTTTACAGCACTCGACCTGGCGAAAAGCTTTCACCAAATCGAAATGAATGAAAGCGATATCCATAAAACAGCATTTTCTACAGCCAACGGTTACTATGAGTTTCTACGTATGCCTTTCGGCTTACGTAATGCCACCAGCCACGTTTCAGAGACTAATGAATGATGTTTTGAATTTATCGGAAAAATTTGTATAGTATATTTAGATGACATACTTGTGTTTTCTACAAGCATGCAATAGTACATAAAATTTTGTACTGCCTACATAAAGCAAATTTAAAAGTCCAAGTGACCAAGTGTATCTTTTTAAAACAACAAACTAAATTTTTAGGGCACGTCATCTCGCACGAAGGAATAAAACGAAACTAAAGAAAGTTGAAGAAATTGACAAAATTAGGCTTCCCAAAAACCAAAAAGAGATAAAAAGCATGTTTATTCATAACGGGTTATTACAGGCGATTTATCCGGGATTAATCTAAAATAACTTACCCACTCGTAAAATATTTAAAGAAAAATACAAAGATACAAAATTTATAGATGCATTCAAGAAATTAAAAGGATTTATTAAATCAGAACAAATCTCCACACACCCCGATTTTCAACAACGCTTCCGATTAGTCACCGATGCTAACAACTTTGGTTTGGCAAATTAGTTTGCTAAGCTAGAACATCTCTCAACGTACACGAAAAGAATTATAGCACGATCGAGAAAGAACATAATAAAAACCGACCATCGCCCACTCGTAGGGGCTAACTAATGTAAAAGAACCGAATAGCAAATTTCACGCTGGAAAATAAAATTAAACAAATTTGAATTCCAAAAAGAATATATAAAAGGAGAAGAAAACGTAATAGTGGACGGACTTAGAAGAATAGTATACGATACGGACGCCCAGCTAGACAACTAGAAACTTATATAAACGAACTTACTGATGAAGATGTCGATACAGTTCATAGTGCAGAAACGGATAGTACAGACGTTATTTCAAATAAAGTGGAGTTAGTAAAGGTGTCGGTACCGAAGTTAGCGCAAGAACCGTTCGTCAGTCTTCAAAACGTTGGTTTGAACGCTCGTCGGGCCGCCAAAAACCCACTTTAAACCTCAAAAATGCGAAAAAACCATTTTCGATGGGCAAAAGAACATCAAAACTGGACTCATCTTAATTGGCGAAATTTTATCTTTTCAGATGAGTCTAAATTTAACCTTTTTTCGGCGACGGTATGTCCTACGTTAGAAGGAGAACCGGTTCAGGGACAATTGTCAGAATCTCAACCCCATTGAGAGGCTTTGGTTTATAATGAAGGCTTAGGTGGCACAGAAAAGACCAAAAACTTTAGCCGAATTAGACACAATTCTCGAAGAAATACCACACAACTGTATCGTAGCAGGAACTTTACAAATCCTCATTAATTCAATGCCCAAAGCGTGTAAAAGCCGTTATTACAAGTAGAGAAGGTTCGACAAAACACTAATGAGATTGTTTTTTATTTTTATATTGTTGACTACCAAAATGATAAAATATCTAAAATGAATGAAAAATAAAAAATTTTGTGCAATGCACAACACTGACTTTGTTTACACTAATAACTCTGTATAACTGTATTAACCATAATTTATTGTTTAAAAAAAAATAAAATTAAACATTTGACTAATATAGTAAGGAAAAACTATAATTTTTTAGTGGCCGGATTTCACTGTCCGCTAAGGAATATACGGCATTTAAATACTGAACAAGATTTAATATATTTGAATTAAAAACAAAAAGATATAAATACCGACAAATGCAACGACACCCAATCAAATTAACAGAGACCGTTGAATCTGAGGGTGAAGGTCACGTAATGCGTCCCACACTTCCCACATTCCACAATTGAAGTGGAACGTAACGCACCAGCGTGAAGAATAGAATAGAATGAATATGAGGTTTGCACTGCGACCCGGGTCTATTGTGCCCTAACAGCGTGAAGACATTCCTCTTTATGTTTCAACTTCCGAAAAGGTTAGACCATTTCAGCTACCCGCAACTATACACGCTTCGTGCCCTTCCAACTGCAAGGATACTTGTGCTGGTATACGCACACCCAGCTCTTTCGACTGTGAGGACACTTGTGCTGGTATACAAGCTTCTTGCTCGCTCCCAGAACGATTCCAACGCAGCATCTTAATTGCTCTTTACACGGCAACACTCTAACTAGAACTGTGTCTGCTGCACAGTCTGGCAGCCCTTATATAGTAGATCTTTAACAAAACATCGCCTTCAGAACATTCTGGCAACTACGAATTCACTAACTGGAATCTGGCAGTTTATCTTCGATTCGATTTGGTTCTATCATCCGTGTTCGTCCCAGTCTTTTATTTTAAAGAATTGGAATTGGTTTTGGTAATAAAAGGGTAACCGATACACACATGAATTTTTTAGAAGTAACAAATGAGTAGCCGAGGAAAATCGAGCTAATAGATATGCTTGTTATAGATAAAAAATACGCTAACATGTTTATATGTTAAAGGTTGCAACCTGCTAACCAAAACAATAACACTAACAGCAACTTGGGTGACAAATACTTTTGTCTAACCTTTTTGCTAACAAATGTGTTTTTATGGGTAACACATAGGTAACCTATTCGCTAACAAAAGTATTTGTTACCTTTAACGGACTGTAAACAAATTTAATAACCAATGTATGTCATTCTGTTAACCAAAACATAACAAACAAGGTACGCATATGAGAGGTAACTTAGAACGAGACAGCATGCCATAATTGCAATGTGTTGTGGCGATGTGTTACTTTTTTCCCAATCTCTGAACTAAAGTAACAAATAGTTTAACGTATGCATAAGTGAACAATAACAATTCGCTACCACGTTGGCTAACAGACACCCGTCTTGCCACGAAAATCATGCAAAAACAGACAAATTTTTGTAAATTTTGTGTGATGAAACAGTTAACATCTCTTTAGTAAAACTAATGGTAAATAAACTAATAAACAGTATCGATATTTCAATCTTATAATTATTTTGAAACACTGAAGGAAAATATGCAATTTTTTGCGAAAAGACGACTAATTTGTTATTATAAATAAAAATTGTTAACCAATTTCGAAATAACTCTCCAGCTTTACCTCGTTAAGTATGTACAAAAGAATCGGTGTTATGTCGGTGTAGTAGTTCTGAAATACACTGCCTTTGAAAACATAAGTTGTGAAGAAAACGCTTTAAAGTTTTGATTGTGATGTAACTATGTAATATTTATTTAAGGTTTAAAAATACTGATAACTTCGGCAATTTTTCTCCAATCGATTTGAAAATTGAAAATACAAATATGCTAAGTTTTGGCGCAGCCGAACATGTAAAACTCTTGTAATTTTTAAAGATCAAAGAGCATATAACCAGGTGTTAAAGTTAAAATTATATTTAAAAATGTTACACACGAATTTATTCATTATTCGACGATATTTTGAAAGACATTGACAGCATTGATCAAATTTTTTAAATAAATAGTAAAGAGAAACATACAAAAATAGGAAACAATGAAGTTCATTCAAATAATCTTAAGATTTATTTACTAATTATCAATTTATAAGAAATCTGCCTTTAAATAAAATTCTTACAATTATAAATATTAATTTTACCTTATATATGCATTAATAGAAAATTTAAATTCCTAAAAATTATTTTATATATAATAAAAAAATTGTACAATATAATAATAATTTTCTTTAAATAGCAAGGACTTTTTTTTCTACTTTGGTCAATTAATTCGTTGCGAACGTTTGTAAATAGAAAAACAATTATAAAATATACGTATTTCCTTTAAAGATATTCAATGTACTCAAATTCTAAAATTTGCAAAATTATATATGCATTTTTTTTGACATTTTTACCTCATATAAAAAGGCTTGGTACACAAAATGGCGACAGGCGAACCGCGGTAGGTAGACGATATTCTCTCGTAATGTAAATTTTAGTATTCTGTTGTCGAAAAGCAGCTATATTTACGCTATTAGAGATATTTAATAAAGGTAAGTCTAAACCTGAATTTTCACATTGTTTTTTATTTTGCATAGAATTAATTGACAAACTGTATCTCGCAAACATAAAAACTATATGAAAAAACTTGTTCAGAGCAAATCTTTCCCACACCTCCTCACACATTGAGTAAATATGTCAAATCGTTGTTTTAAAAACTACTAAAAGTGAGTTAAGGCGGCATCAGAATGGGTATTTGCTACACTATGTCGGCGACGGATAAGTATGCGAATGAAGTGTCGTACGTTACCCAGACGTATGACACAATGAATGGAATGGATGCTTCATTCATGTGATTCCGTCGCTATCTATATAAATGCACACATTTAACTCAGTTGTCAGTTGCATACTTTTCCGCTGCGGAATCAACGTACCTATTCTGACGGCGCCCTTAAATCGCTGAAGAAAATACCAGAAGCACAATAAAGGACGAAAGGAATCGGTCTCGAAACTGAACAATTGGCAGTGCACAGCTCTCTATTAAATTAAATCCCATAATTTAGAAACGACGCAAGCAAATTTGGTGCATAACATTATCTTACAGTATGTAAATCATTGTACAGGCATACAAGTAAACAAAGAATCATATGGTTTCCAAGAAAAGTTTCAAAATCAACGTTTTTTGGGTACAGAGATTTAAATAAAAGGAGTGTAATATTATATTATAACTTTTTTTCTTCTGAAAAGGTATTTTTAGTTGAAAATATTAATGAAAATGTTTAAGAATATATAGAAACCAATCTACCAAGTAATAAACAATATTTATAAAATATTCTATATCACGGTTCTACACACACCATTTTTTTAGGTAAAATTTGGGAAAATCCGATCCTATGGCAAGTAGAATAAAAATGTTGTGCATAAATATTTTAGATTTTTGATAGAAAATATATAGTTTCAGGATGTGGTGTTACTACTTGGCAATTCCTATATTGCTTTTCTAAAGTAAAGAAGAAGAAACCTGCAGACAGTTCACAAAACTTGCATTGTGAACACACAAAACAGTCCGAACGTCATAAACTATGTATGTGCAAGTTCAGACGAGGACTCCTTTTGCCGCCCAAATCGGTTATCGTGGGCGAGGGAACGACTAGGAAAAGCGAAGAGACTGAGTACATGTGGTACACTTTGATTTTTTTCCGTAACAGCGCGCTGCTACAAATATAAAGCTATGATTGTGCGTCGCCATTCAGTTTGTTTGTCTTGCCTTTAATTTGATAGGTATGAGATGCGTTAAAATGGTACGAATATTCGTGTAGATATTTGCACATATTACACTGGAACATTCAATAGTGGAGTTTGGGTCGGTAGAAATTTCAAAATCAGGGAACTGATCAATAGTAACTGTCTACATTATTTTGCGACTTGTTGAGTAATAATACATTGAATATCTTTAAAAAAATATGCATACTTTATCTTTTATTTATTTACGAACATTTTTTACTAAATAATTTACCAAATTTGATCTTCAAAAATGACATTGCTCCGTGATTGAATTTTGGAAGTAACAATTATATTCACCCTTTTTTTGATTTCTCACCAATAGAAACTGATGCAATTATATGCTGAAACTAGTATTTATAATTGTAATAATTACAATTTACACAGAAATTTAGTAATTTCACGACAAACGTATAAATTAATTCAATTTTACTAAATATAATTATTTTTAATTGTAATGTACGCCATTGTTTTCCATTTTTCTATGTAACAATCCAGTTTCAGTATCCAACGCAAGCAAAAGAACAATTTTAATCAACTATATTTAGACTATAGGGGTGTTAGATCACTTGGGTACATATCTAATACAGTTTTTTAATTTTTTTGGATACGTAGCTAGATGATAGCAGAACGAACCTGGTAGTCTTGAGGTTCGAAAAACCAGAGTCATTGCAAGCAGAGATTTTTAATAGACAATAGGACTGCACTATTTGGTCTATATATGTACATACAAGGTGCATTCCAAAGTAAACAGTAAAAAAGTAACAGAGTAAACTCTAGTGGCGCCATCTATATGTCGACTAGTGCGTTAGAATCTGCTATCCGACTTCCAGTAAAAATTTCATGACATTTTATCTATTGGAAGTGAAGTTATTGACTTTTAAGAGTCAGTATGTTTTTGTCATCGGTGCGAAAATGAGCTTCGAATAAAGAGCCAACATTAAATTTTGTTTTAAAATTGGTTTAACTTTTACCGAAACGTTTCAATTGTTTATTGCCTATCCTGTAGCATTATTGCCTATCCTGAAGCAGAGTGCACGAGTGGTTTCAACGTTTTCAAAGTGGTCGTGAGGACATAAATGAGAAATGAGCCGAAACCCAAATATTCGCGCCTGGAGAAGTCAAAAGTGAAAACAATGCTGATTTGTTTTTATGCTTCCAAGGGTATTGTCCACAAAGAATTTGTTCCACCCAGCCAAAACGATAATGCGGTATTCTACCTTCGGCCCGAATATCGCGAAGGTGGAAGTTGGCGTTTGTTGTTAACAATCAACCACTCCCCGTATTCACCTGATATGGCACCGTGCGACTTCTACCTTTTCGGATTAATGCATTTGCCGATGAAAGGAAAGCGTTATGCAAACGGAGACCATTCAAAAGGCTTGCAACGGCATACTGGCGGCCATACCGGGCAACGAGCTACAACACTCGTTCGACATGCTTCGAGAAGGAGACTATTTTGAATAAAATTAATTGATTTTGCCGATAAAACTATTTGTTCTGTCTTTTTTTTTTAAAGTTCTGTTTACTTTAGAACGCACCTTGTATGTATAATCAAAACCAAAGAACGTGGAAATCAGAATCGTGCACACAAAATAAATAGTAATAAATCAATATATGACCGAAATCCATCGTAAAAAACTGTTCATGCTGAGCATTGTGGATTTTATAAATTTGTTTTTAATTTTTAATCCGTAGTACCGGATTAAAAAAAATAAATCCCAAGATTAATTATTAATTAAAATTTAAAATAAAAATTTTCAATTCAAAATTTTTAATCCCAAATTTCTTGAATAAAAATTAGATTTTTAATTAAAAAATATGTAAAAAATGGACTACAGATATAATTTTTAATCTATGATGTTGAGATTTAAAATTTAAAATCTAATTGTTAATCCAAAATTGTTCCATTAAAAAATTCACAACCCTGATTGATACAATACTGTACTTTAATGAATACACTTCTTATTTTAATACATTGTGGATAGTTAAAAATTGAAAGGAATTGTCACATTAAATATAAAGCAATAAACTTACCTCTTGAAAAACTGAACGAACTTGATCTCTATCCGTAATATCTATGCAATAGTAAATTAAAGTCTTTCCAGTCAGTTTTTGAACTCTATTTAATGACTCAGGTAGCTTAGACGACCCTGAGCTATACGCATTACTTAAGTTATCTATACAAATCACGTTGTAACCTGCATTCAACATCTCCAAGACTGTGTGGGAGCCTATATATCCCGCACCTCCGGTTACTAAAACATTTGGAGGACTCATTCTAGATCCTATAAAGGGAAAATATACAAATAGCTTAACAAAGTGAGAGGTACATAAGTAAATATTCAAATAGTATATAATATTAATGTCAACAAGATACAAATTAAGTTTTCTTAGATGCTTATTGCCTTACGGCTAAGAACTTAATTATTCACACATTCATCGATGACGAAATGCTGCTTAAACTTACATTTGATATCAATCAACATATAAGATAAGAAGGCTTGGGGAAGTTATGAACATATGTATTTTATACAGTTTTATTGGAATACATTGATTTAACTTCTTTTTTGATTAGAAAAAATGTAAACAGGAAATCGGATAGTCACCACACGCACTCTGATAACTCACTAAATAAATACTCCTGAACTATCAAATTTCACAAATAAGGTAGTTGGAAAGGCTTCATAGAAGCCGAAATAAAAATTGGACAATGGATGTGGTACCACCACCTTTAGGTGAAGTTGTATATTTCAGAAACTACTGGACCAATTCCAACCAAACTCGTTAAATAGCTTTATATTGACATGGATATCTAACACTATACAATCACGCCTACTTTCCATATAACAAAATTTTAAATTCCATCCATTTCCTTTATTATACAGTAAGAAAATCAAACACCAAAGAAGTTATCGGAAGAAAACTTTGTACAAATACTGCCTTTAAGATATGGCATCTAACTTTTTATAACGGTCGTTATCCGACCATAACTTATTAAGCCCTCAGTAACCGATGGACACTTTTTACCGAAATAGCGTTCAATCTCAATCTTATATCAACAACGAAACTTACATAACGTTAATTTATTAATATGGTTCCCAACTCTACTTGGTTGAATTGAAGTTGAACTAACTCAACTTCAGATAAACCCAACTCTTTTTATGTATTACGATTTTCAACTATTTTCGGTCGAAGTTTGATTGGTATTTCCAAACTAAAAAATCAAACTTTAAATCAAAAAATCAAAACTATTTAATTAAGTTTTTGCTCACAAAAAAGTGAATACTTATTAAAATGGACATTAGTTTTGATTTATATTATATTACGATGACAAAAATGTTGGGGCCGAAACTTTTGTGCAGCGCATAAGGAAAAGCCTTCGTGATAACTCAAATCCATTCGAACTTCTTAACACCAGGTAAGCCAAAGTTTTTTTGAAAATTAAATGGGTCCTTAATCATTTTTATTGCAGATTTATAAGTTTTTTTTCTTTTAAACGAGGAATCATTTTGTTTCTTACTAAATGATGTGAAGGAACGTTACCACAAACTATCCATTTCCTTCCTGCGGGTAGTTATCACAAATGCATTTTAATAAATTCGAACTTTACGATATCTATGGTTGTTACAAAATCTGCTTTTAAATATTATGAACACCGTTTTTGTGCGATGTGGATAAAACACCAATGACTGAAAAGGAGCATATTCCTAGAAGTAGTATGTTGTATCGACTCTTTATTTATTTATTTAAACGCCAATCGGCAATATACATCGATATAATAAAGAATTAAAGTATTATACAAAAGTAGCTAGGGTATATTATTGTAATATCTGGAAAATATTTAAATAATTGTAAGTTAATATGTAATTCAGACTTGATTTAGATGTAATTCAGACGAGCAGGTGTCTCCTGGTGTTTTCGGTAAAAGCAGCGTATGTTCCTCCATAGAAATCAATTTCACCTTGAAGTGAATGTACTAAATTAGCCAGTCTATTCTGAGGACCATGGATAACATAATTGTTCTTGGATTTCGATGTTTTTAGTAATCTATTTCGCCTCAGGGTAAGACCAGCAGGGGCGAGTTCAAAACTGTTTAGGATCTCATGAGCATCAGTGATGTTATTGACTACTTTGTAGAAAAAGCATAGGTCAGCGACCTGTCGACGAGAAGACAGTTTGTTTATACAGTAGCACTGGTAGACCTCATCAGTAGAGCAGATGTGACTTGGTGAAGATAGTTTATAGGCCAGTGACTTACAGAATTTACGCTGCACCTTTTCAACTTTATCGATTGTCGTGTTAGTGTAGGGAGACCAGATTACCGAACCATATTGTAAAATTGGTAGTACAAGTGACTTGAATAGTCTAATGAGTGTCCAAGGTAATATCTTTACGGTAAATACTATATGTTGAATCAATGACTTCACCATCACATATGGATGAGTGAAGCCAGGATTCCGAAATACATACAACGTCGTACTGGTTAACCGCTAATGCGGTTTGAAATGTTGAGAGTTTTGTACGCAGACCTCTGACGTTCTGGTAGCACAGGTGGACGTAAGATACTTTCTTCTTGCTCGTTGAGCGGACGAAAATTTCTTTTAACGATTCTTGGGACACCATGGATATATTTAATTGTGTTACTCTCATCACCACTCTTCACGATTGAATCAAGCTCTTGACGCAAATTTTTCAGATGAAGTTGTTGAGAGGGAGTTAGATCAGTCTTGAAAATAAAACCTGAGTTTACGTCTGTTGGTCTGTATTTGATAATGGAAAATGCATCGGCTGCTGAGCGGGTGGTAATGTGAAGAGGACGTGTACGTCCAGGTGTAGGACGACCCAGTCTACGTAACTTGAGTTCAGTGGCCTCATCCTTGAGACTGAGAGGCAAAGCTGTGACTAACTTTGTTCTGTCATCCTCTAAACGGTCCTTTCCAGCAGCTTTATCAGACTCAGGAATATTTAGGGCAATCACGTTGGTTTCACGGCGTTTTCGTTCCGACAGTTTAGTGAAAAACTCTTTCTGACTGGTAGGCAGCCTCAGATCTACGTTTAGCTCGTCTTCAACTGAAGTAAGTCTGTCATCCAGGGCACAACATTGATTTGATAGCGAGACGTTTTGTTTTGACAGTATGCTTACCTCTTTTCTTAAGTCCTTGATTTCACTTACAACTGATTTTTTTAGGTCCCTGAACTCACGTTCATAATTTGTTGTAAAACGTTCAAAGTGTCTCTTGAGTAAGGTTTCAATATCCTTTGACGGTGGCGGATCACAAGTGTTTGACAACACTTCAACTGAATTTTTTTTTTTGACGGGTTGAGTTCAAAATCATAATACCGAATTTCAAAACTTCAACCAAAATACAGTTGGGTTGAAAACCGTAATAGGGGCCTTAATCAGTCAAGTAGTATGAATTATTTCCTGTTCCGCTGTTTCACGCACTTTGCCTCATTTTAAGTTAAAGCCAGTATTCAAGTTAGAGCCGGTATTACCTAATTTGGTTTACAGAGCTTATTACAGTTAGTCGTTATTGCCAGATCATAAAAAATTCGAATTATTAGACATTTAGAATACATTAGAACACCGGAACTGTCCGCATAGAACAAGCCGTGTAAGTAGAACGAAATATATTTGCTCCTAACAAATTCAAAAAGTTTATGATCGTTGTTAAGTAGCGTTTATGTTTTTGGAAAATGTGTTTAGTTTTTTTACTTGCTTCAGTCTTTCTTTTACGGCTGCATCGCTTTGGCTGAGAGCCACTGTATGTAGATGGCTAAATGTATATATCTTTCAAACGGCTAAAGCTAACTCATCCAAACTTTCTGAGAAGAAGACGTTTTAGCCCTTCTTCATTATTAACAGAACGAGAATGAGGGGCATCTCTGATTTGAAAGTTTTTAATATGTGCGCCTGGCCCCGCCACCTACGAAGTGTAATACACATACATGTCTCACAAAACGCCAAGCTATATCAACCAAGCCATTTGCTCGAAACAAATCTTTTCGGCGCTTCTTCCAACAGTGTGGATATTGATGAAATTAATCGATTTGGTTTATTTTTGATACCAAATGCCAAAAGTGAAAAATGATATCCTAATTTTTAAAATGAAAATCAGTATCTTTCATTGCAAGTTGAGAGCGTAAATCACGTACCTGACTTTGACAGATATTTTGAACGAATTATGATATAATAAATATAAATATTGGTTAGCAACTCAAAAATATATTTTGTATAATGGCAACCTTTTTTACAAACAATTTATATCTAATTTTATTCCTTTTTGCAGGTCTGCCATTTGAGGAAAAATTGCTGTAGATGTAAAATTTTATCAAGGAGTTCACCTCACACGCAGGAGAAACAAATAACATTTCTCGCTCTTATAACAGCGGTGAATCTGTACACATACGCTTTCTTAACATAACCAACCGGCGAATATTGAAGAGAATATAATATGTATGCCAAACTGGGAATATTGATATGCCATTTGAAATATATTCCCTTTTATTGAACTATTATTTATTATTTTTTAAACTATTTTATGTTAATTAATTTTTTCTTTATTATGAGAAATATATTAAAATTCTTTTAAATTATTACTAGTAAAGTATTTTGATATATTTCTTAAAATAATTCATGTACTTGACACCATTATGGAGTCAAAAAAGTACAGAATTGTGTTTTGCCGTCGGCATTTTTATATCATGTGTACATGTAAACAAATATGAAAGAAAAATATTTGTAAATTTGTCTACAAACATACAATATGTATGTAGATATGAACACTTATTACTTAATGTGAAATCTCCGTTGACACGGTCGCCCATGATCGAAACTCACGTTTTTTGCTTTAATATCAACGAGTCAAAGGACTGACGCGACGACAAAGCGTTACAATATTGTGTTGTTGGTAGAAAATCCGCGATGTGCTGAGAACGCTCGCCGATTGTCACCGCTTCCCTTGCCGCTCTAACAGCTTTTCCCACAAATCATTGTAAATATGTATGTTTATATATGAGCATCCATACATATTGACGCAGATTTTTGCGAGTCACGGAAAAATATTTTAGAATTATGATATATTTTAAATCGACATAAGCTTTGTTGCCGCTTTTGTCATTTTTTTCTGTGTTTTGTGGGCTTACAGGGTTGTCACTTTTCCCTTCTAGAGGGAACACAAAAAAGTTGTTAAATTTTTCTACTTCTAGCTTTTGCCTTCGTCGCGAAAAGACGCTTGTAGGCAAGCGCATGCTCGGGGAGATGTTTAAGGCGTTTGCTTTTATGAATGAAACGACTTAGCTTATTGCATGTGTGCCAGCGTTCATGAATGAAAATGTTGTTGTTGTGTGATTTGCTACAAATTTAGGATTTGTCCATTTGGCTGCCATATTGATTTCTGACGCTGCTCATGCTATTTGAGAGAATTGTTGTTTTGTATAACAACGTTTGTATTTTTTGCATACATACTTACATATAGCATATTTGTGCATACATACTTACATATAGAGCAGTGCGCGCACATGTATTTATTGATAAGTGATAATATATTATTATATTATATAATATAACATATTGATGTACATATGTACATACTTAAATTATTAGTTCTGTAACAATTGAAATTAGAAAACTATTAAAAAAGTAAAATATATTTTTTTTGCATAATCTTTCGCATTTTATCAAGCCTCATTTGTGCAAAAAAAATCATATTTTATCAATTTTGATCATAAAAATCGTTTATATGACAAAAAATAACCATGCATATGTGAAGTGGCATCTGTATTTTTTGTTTAAAAGATTTAATTTTTCTCTTTACGTTGGAAGATACGTATTTTATCAGAGAACGTTGTTATAAATTCTCATTTCTGTTAAATAACAGCAAATATTACAGAAAATGGTGAACTCCTTGATCTCAATTTTTCAGCTCTGTTAGCCGTCCAATCGACCATCATACAAAATACAATTTGCACTTTCTCGTTCTTCAAAGTTCTCTGGTTAGACAACTTCGCGAAAATTCGAATTTCGATTTGAATTTTTAAGGAAGGCGTACGTCATATCATTCACGATTTTTCACAAATGCGTTTTTTGAACATTGATCTTCCCACCATATAAGGTATATATCATAAAAAAAAAACGATCGTTCAGGAAATCATTTAGCTATATATGTACAAACATTTTACTCGCTTTTGCCATTAAAAAATCAATTTTAACACTTAAACTTATTCAAAAGTGCTGTATTATCCTTAAATTTACACTTAATCCCTACAATGTTTTTGGTTATAGAAGGCGTAGTTATTATCAAATTTTGCTGCTGTGATCTATCAAATTTCTAACTTGAATTGGCATAGTTTTAACACTTAATATTTTTCATTTAACGGCATTTAGTTACACATGGCAGTGGTCCGACCTCATCATAGTGTCAAGGGACATGTCTACAAAGCTTCTACAAGATAATTTATCAGACGGACAGACATCGAGAATTCAATATATCTAGGATATAAACAAAATGTAGTAAAGAGACTTCTCCTGCCAGTTAATAAGTTAATAAGTCTTCTAAGCTAATAAGTCTTCTAAGTTAATAAGTTGCCAAAAAAATTTTAATTCAATCACAATTTTGTTTAATAACAATTATTGAATTGATATGGAAGATTTCTTAATACAGTAGAGGCTCAGTTAAAAAAAGGGGAAAACTTTAGTATACCGTCCCAGGCTTTCGGGGATAAAATGGGTATGGGCGGATAGAGGAGATCCTCCAGATCAAGAATATATACAGATATATCCGCGGGGAACTTATGGTTTTCGAGATATTTACGTTTAAAGTTGAAAATTTCAACAATTTAAAGTACGCATTTTTTCGATTTCAAATGAATTATACACTTATATTTTCCACTTTTATATCCACTAACACTTCACTATATTTAATATCAATTGTTCACAAAAGTGTTTAGCTTCAGACTAGTAAAGACATATGAATTTATTTACGAAATATTTAGACCTATGTTTTTGAAAACAATTTCTAAGCTTTTTGGCATACTTTCTAAGCACTTACGACTATATTTCGTCGGTATTTTTCCCATTTCTCTTACATTTAAACGTCAAAGCTGTATGTCCTGTAACAAAATTACAGTTATAAATTGCTAATAGGTCTTTTACAAAACTTCTTTTGTTCAATTATATAAAAGCTTCGATAATTGCTTACATTAGTCATAAATGATTATTTTAAACTTATTTATGCGTTTCAGATCAAATAGTGGCTTCCACTATTCCTCAATACCAAAACGTTGTTATTGTGTGAATAAAATGAATTAAACAAAAGTTAAATATATTGATTTGAAGTTATTTTTGCACTATTCAATATTAAATAAAAGTGTGGAAACAAATTAGTGAAGTGTTACTGGATATAAAATTAAAAATAAAATGGTGGCGCTTCAAAAAAATAACCTCGGGGTCGTAAATTCCTCCATTTGGGGTATAATCTCTATTTTTATTTTATTTTTCTTCGTTTACAAAATATATTATATGGCAACACTGGTTTTTTGACATTTCCAACCTTTTTGTTGGTTGTCCAATTTAATAGAATTGAAGAATAATTTAAATATTGAAATAAAGCTATTTTTACATCATAGAGAATAAAAATTGTGTAAAAACGAATTACTGAAGTGTTAGTGGATATAAAAGTAAAAAAAACCAAGTGTATAATTCATTTTAAATCGAAAAATACGTACTTTAAATAGTTGAAAATTTCAACTTAAACGTAAATATCTCGAAAGCTATACGTTAGCGGCTATATCTATATATATTCTTGATCTGGATGACCTCCCCTTTCCGCCCATACCCATTTTATCCTCGGAACCCTGTGAGGGTATTCTAATGCCGACCCAAATATTCATTTTCAGGTGTATTATAGGAACCTTAGCAGAAGAAATCGTAGTTTTGCCAAAAACCTGCAATTATAATTTCAAGTGTATCACAGGAGGAAAATATTAATTTTCAAGTGTATTATAGGAGCCGACTGCTATCAGTTCCGAGTTCATCGGCTATCTAATAGCGTAAGAGGGAGGAATCACGAAACCTCTCACTCGACTCACTAACCCTAAATTGAAACCATTTCTATATATTATCTTTAGCGGACAGAAGACCGCTGTTAATCAAACACTTTGTGACTTAAGCAGTTATAACATATAAAAAAAATTGTACGCACTGTTAAACTAAATGCAATGTTATCTCAAGGTTACATAACAAACCATGATATTGACAAACATAAAAATAAACAAATATTTTGTAATCTGAATAACAATGTTCACCTGATTACACAATCACGTACTTAAAAACACCACGACTTTACCCTGCCACGTTCTATCCTCTACTAAATTTGTACACTAAAAACGGAACAAAGTGTTATCTTGCAAAGAGTTCAATCTGCCACGTTCCGTTTAATACTAAATAAAATTAAAGTAGCATCAACTACCGCATTTGTTATCACTTAATTT